GAGGACACTCTCTCCAGAGGGGATGGGAGGGTGCGGTCTCCAGCCCTGGGGAGAGAACCAGGTGCTCCTGTTCTCTACTTGGGAACCTGGCAGGCCACCTGACTCCCGGCCACTCGCTCTGTAGTCAGCACCCAGCTCAAGGGCACATCCTGCCCACCCTGGAGGCCAAGAGCCGCTCAGCCAGGCGGGCGGGCCCTTCATCCAGCTGCTTCTCAGAACAGCTCCTGACCTGCCTTCCTCACAACTGCTTGTCTCACATCATGACCCTACTACGGCTCACTGGTCCCAGAGGTTGGGTCCACAAGGTCCCAAACAAAGGCTCTGTGTGTGTGTGTCCTGGTTGGACACTTCTGTTCTGGCCCGGGGAAGTCCCATGCCACCGCTGACAGGGCCATCGACTGGCCCTTGGTTCAGGTGGCCCTTCTACCTCCTTCCCTATCACAGCGCCTTGGAATGATCCTTCCATGTCCCTGCCACCGGGTTGACTTCCTGCCTGTCCCCTCCCACTGCCCCCAGTACTCCTGCTTGTGACCCTTGAATCACCGGGCTTGTTCTTTGCAGAGGTGCGTGGCACCCTCACTGTTGGGCTCAGGCTCCTGGCCTGAATGTTTTCTGTGCCCGCTGACCAACTGTCAGCTCCCTGAAGACACGAGACCTGGGGTGAGCTCGGAATCATCCCCAAAGGCTCACGTGGGGGGAGATGGGTACAGCCATCCTCACTGGGTGACTCAGGGGCACTCATGTAGCCCACTGGGGAGAAAAAGGCAGAGGGAGTCTAAATTGGGCCCCTATGTTGGAATTGATCTAAAAAGCAAACAACCCCCAAACGAATCATCATAAGGACCTCATCAGAGCTTGGAGCGGCTTTTCTAAATCAGGCAGGAGACAGCCCACTCTGTTCTCAACTCGGCCAGCACTTCCGCCTTCCATTTCAACAGATGCACAGCCCAGACATGACGCCAACTGTTTCTCAGGTGGGCCTCCGGAGTGGACGCCCGGTCATAGCTGGCGTTCCCAGGGACCGCAGGTGACGGCCCGTGGGCAGTGAAGAGGAAGAGGGCCCAAGCAGCTGGACCTTGCAAATTCACCACATGGTGAGCGTCGCTTGATGGTCACCCAGGGTCTGGGGGGTGGGGACTGCCACCACTGGGCGTCTGATGCAAACCCAGCCCCTACGCCTGAAGTACACCTTGGCAGAATGGGGCCGGCATCACAGATCATTTTCCGTTTAAGAGGCCACGTGCCCCACTGTTCCCTGCCTGGAAACCAGGACGACCTGCCCCAAAATGGGCTGTTTCCCCCCCCCACAACAAATGACTGCTCTACAAACAGCTGTGCAAACATTACTGCCACATCCCCATCGGCGGAGCGTGTGGAGAAACGGCTTGGCTGCCTGCGGAGGTCGGAGTGCTGGCCGACACACCTCTTGCGCCTGGTGCTGTGGACGGGGCCTTTACCCCGGCGTCTCCATGCCTGTTCGCCAAGGCTGCTGCCCGTGAGGAACAAGGAGGCAGGACAGGCTCCCCAAGACCACCGGGATGGGCAAGAGCCCGCCTTCAGAATCCCACGCACCTGGTCCAGAGCTTCTCAAACTCCCGGGGCGTGAGGGGGATATCGAAACCGTAGAGAGCATTCTTGATGTCCCGTCGCCGGAGAATGCCACGGCCCTCACTGTCCGTTTCTATGAAGTTCTACATGAGGAGAAGGGGTGGTCAGCTGCCTGGCAGACATCGCCGGGCCCTCCAGAGGCATGATTTGGAACAACCCAGGGCTTTATCTCCCGTGACCACCTTGTCCAGCCCCAGACACCTGCACCGGGCCTGTAAAGAAGGTGGCAGGCGCGGGCATGGCCCCTGAATGGGATGTTTCTGGGCAATGAGTGGTGTGGGCCCTTGGGCCTTTTCCTGCATTTAAACATGACAGAAGAGAAGGACCAGCCGGACTTGCTGGAGACGGGAGATGGGTGTTGGAGGTGCTCACGGGCCAGCGGCATTGGCCCTCTGTCTGTGAGAGGCGGGATGAGGGTCTTTGCATGATGACAAGGGGATATGGGACCACTTGAATGTCCCCAAGGGATGCGAAGGACAGCTGAGGATCGAGGGGGCATTGAGGAGGACCAGGGGCTATCCCTGCCTGATGCTTCCTCAGAGGGCCCTGAGAGGCAGGCCCAAAGAGCATGTGCTGGCGTGGGCAATACCTCCGTGCCACCCCACTTCAACCCCCTTGAACAGTCATGCTCTTTCTGGAAGCGCAGGGTGTGTGGCTGGAGATGGGGTCACCGCAGATAACATGCGCTAATTTGGGATGAGGTGGCACTGGGGTAGGGTGGGCTTTAAATCTAGTATTAGTGGGGCCTTCAAGAGAGTCCCGCAGACAGACACACAGAAGTGCCCAGGCAGCGTGAAGACGGAACTCGGAGAGCGGGAATGGCACGGCAGGTGTGAGGG